CCATCAAGCTGTCCTGCCTATTTGCAGGGCCTCAGGCCAGTGAGCTTTGTGTATGCGTCTGCTTAATTTGAAAGGCTGGCTGGAATTGGTGCCTATGTGGAGGCTTCACCTAGGCAGAGAAACTGCTTCTTAGCCCAGCCCACTGCTGATTACAGCTTTCAGCCCACGTGACCAGGGACCCTGCCGAACATAGAGGATGCTGTGTAGCCCACAATATAACTCTGCTTACAGGCGCACTGAACAGAGAACTCAGCCCATGGCTTTCTGCGTCTGCAGAGCAAATCTGGTAGCCCCACCCGGCCAGGGAATTCAGTGCACGGTGCTGTCTGATTCAGGTCCTCAGACGTGAGCCACGGACGCCATGGGTTCATTCTGCTGCCACACCAGGGCAGGGAAGCTAACCATTCACTTAAGCCAAAAGGAGGAAAACATGTTATGGTGTTAAAAAGGGTTAAGATGATACAACTGTGGCCTTGGGGAAGGTTAAAACAGGCAAACAAGTGCAAATTTCACAAATTCTTCAGTGGAGGTAAGAATTTAAATCAAAACATCACATTCTACACCTCAAAGTTACATAATCTTATATGTCAATTATATTTCAAAAAGCTGAAAATAAAAAGAATTTGAATGTTTTCAAGTGTTATATATTAATAGTTTTATAGGAGAGTTCTTTAAAATGTTTCAGGAAGACAGTTCATATGCTAATATGATTCTGGGGTGTAGAAAAATATGCAACTGAATGTTAGGTAGTGTTGTAATATTTACTAAGCTGCGTTCATTTGCTCTATTATGACAAAACACGCATGCACACACAGCCAAGAAGCTCATCTTTCTTAAAGCTACAAACTTCTAAACAAAATGTTAAAACCTTTGATAGTATTTTAGTAGAAGGTAATGTTTTGACAAAGGAATAGACGATAGTTTAATATTAAGTAATGTATTAATGAAATGTATTGCATCAGTCGTTCAAAACACAAAAATCATTATCATTTTGGTATGCTTCAAAAAGGCTTTTGATAAAAATTCAACTTCATATTTTACAAAAGCTTTGGTAAATAGGAAGATTTATAAATAGGCATTTCTCAACATGATCTAAAATACTCATCATAAACTGAACACCACTTAATGATGAAATATTTGAGGTTTTCCAGTGAAAAATCAGGAGCAAAGCTCACATTCCTGATATCACCACTGTTATTTAATATTGTCCTGGCATTTTAAAGCCGTTGGACATAGAAAGAGCTAGTTGGAATAAAGAAGAAATTAGAACAGGAGTTACATGGGGATGTCAAAAATGTATCCTAACAAACTATCCATGATCACTTTGTGAGCCTCTCATTGAGGATTATTTCCTCTTTATGCATATTTTGTTGGTTTGTGATTATATGTGTTATTTTAGAAATGAGTATATTTTGAAATACCACATTTAAAAAATTTAATTCAATTATCATAAACAATTAATAATGCCACAAGTGCATTAAGCATTATTTAAAATCATGTTATTAAATGTTTTTATTATATAGACGAAATTATTGATTTAATCAATTTAAATAAATGATTATTTACTCATTTACATATACAAATGTAAATACACGTTGCCTGGATCTCAGTTGGAATGTAGCCCTATGGCTATTTTAGAATACAGCATATTGTATGTGTAAAGCGTGTGTGATATCTTAATGGTACCCACTATTTTTTAATAATAATTTATTTTTTTCAGTTTGATTTCATAGGCTCTGATATAAAAGCTGTAACACAGAAGGTTATTCAGATCATTGGCTTTGTTAACAGTGTAAGTTTTTAAAAACTATTTTGTTTATATATTTTGTAAAAGTACAGGTGATATGACTTGATGTATATGGTATTTTGCTGTGCTTCTGAAGAGTTTCCACAATCAAAATATTGAATTAAATGTCTTAAATATACATTCATAAAAATGTAATATAATGTTCAAATTTATTTTTAAAATGTCATTTATTTTCTCCATTTAGATGCTTACCCAGTTAAAACTGACTGTTAGAATATCTGCCATAGAGATCTGGTCAAAAAAAAACAAAATTTCTACTATAGGAAATCCTAATTATATATTATATAAATTTTTAGAATGGAAATACAAATCTGTTACTCGGCCTCATCATACCGCATACTTATTTGCGTGAGTACAGTATTCCATATTTCTATAACATTAAAGAAATAACCCCGGATGATTTCATATGTTAATTATGAAAAATTAGCATTTACTTAATATATCCCGAGTTCTACAAATTTGGTAGGCACTATGGGATGGGGAAAAAAATGTAAGTTAAAGTCCTTGTCCTTAGGGAGCTAATATGAGGTAAGACTTAAAAACTTTTATAAACTGACATAAAATTACCTGATAAAAGTAAATTAAAAATATGGAAATAACTAAACGAGATTAATTATGTGTGATACAATGTTTTGACTTCCCTTGGCTTTTATCTTTTACTGTTATCTTATCTCTACATTCTTGTCTCTCATCTGATTCATTTTTGTGTTTTTATTTTCTAATAATATGAATATGTGGAATGTTTGAAATATATGGAATGTAAAGTCTAATGCACAGAAAAATCTGTTCATGTTTAGTGAATAAATGAATGAGGAGGTCACAGAAAATTGAATTTTCAGGGCTATCAATGTAGAGAGAACCAGAATAAAAATGATAACCGTTAGGGCAATGATATTTTGCATGAACTATTAGGCCTCATACTTACTATAATTCTGGATGTTTTTCAAATGCAAAATTTATAAATATATATTGAAATGGTCTTATCATTGAAGGTTTGAAAAAATGTATTTAAATAGTTTAATTCAGAGTAGCATGGTGCATAGCATATAGTAATTGTTAAATAATGTTTACCGCTATGAAAATTATTGTCATTAACAATATCACTCAAAATGCCATTAGGAGGAAAATTGTTATTTTTCAGCTTCAAGAAACATCCTACTTTTATAGGAGCCACATATCCTGGAAAAATATGTAATGAGAATTATGCTGGCGGAGTTGTTCTGGTGCGTAATCACTAACCAGTTTGCTCTCATTCTCGTGTTTCAAAATCTCCTAAATATTTTAAAGCACAAATAAATATATTATTGGTTTACTCATGCCTTAATAGTTTTTTATATTACTAATTTGACACGTGAAAGTTAAACTGTATAATTGCTTTAAAATACAGAATATCTATAAATTGAACTGATCTGAATATGAAATGATCATTTTGTTTGAAAAATGTATCTGCCTTTTAAAGTCAGTTTAATTGTTTTGAACAGTGATATGCTTGCATCAATATTTATTATATAATCAATGCAATTTTAATGTTAATTATTAAACATTATCAGTATTTCTCTCAAAACTAATAATTGGTATACACTCGTGCTTTTTTATTAAGTGACATTCATTGTTTTTTCTGTTTCATGGTAATTTTTATTATTGCATTCAATTCTTTGTTATATGTTTGGGAGGTGCAGACTCTTGTAGGAAGAAACAACAATCAAATATTCATAATCTGTTGTTTTCTGGAAAATGGGAATAAGCTTTTACAATGAAGTTATATTCCTTTTACAACAAGCTATATAAAAAGTAACAAAGGGAACTAACTTAACAGTGCTTTAGAAAAAGCAGTCCACACTATGATTTTTATACTGACCCATTTGCATATTTTGTTGACGATTAGTAGCACGTGCAATGATTCAAACTGCCATTGACACATTAGAATGATTTAAAATATGTACTGGTGTTGGGCTGCACCCTGCTGGCCTGTACATGCCCAGCTTCAAGACCGAAGAAAGAGCCAAGAGTCAGCAACAGAGACATCAGTGGTTTAATGGATGGGGCATCTTACATGTCGGAAGCAAGGTCCTGGAGGGACACCCCACCACGTGTGGCTGACAGTGGGCTCCTGGGGTGGGGTAGGGGAGGTCATCAGTTACAGGGGGAATTGACATCAGGTTAGCTCATTGGTTACCAGGGAAACCAGCAGAGGGGCACGCCCTCGCCAACCCTTTGATAAGCAAAGGGGAGAGTTCTGATCTAAACCTAGAGCAGTGGGGCCTGGGGCAAGTATGTAGGAAGGTCAGTCATGTGAGTTGGTGTAGGTGAAGCAGGCACGGGTCAAGCAGGGATGCACAGAGAGCAAGGAATGGCCACCTTGACTGGCCTGACCACCAGCTGATATGTACTTGTTACCATGACTACAAAAGATGTACTAATTGATTAGGTAGATCTAAAACCCGTTCTGCAGGTGATTTGTTACCATGGCTAAAGAACAGTTACATATTTCCTAGAGATTTGTTTTTATTCTCAATCCCTGCTGTTGGTCTTCTTTCAGCCCAGGCTTGAGGAAGGACCACCAGCAGCTGTCTGGGTCTTTGCCACTGTTGTTAATTCTCCTGAAAACAGTGTTTCTTTGCTGAGAACTAATTGCTAGGTCACGTGCGTGTGAAGCAAATAAAGCAGATGATAGGAGTTGCTGAGTATAAATGGTTAGTGTGTGTTTTCCTGGTGCCGTTCTTCAGACTTCAATTGTGATTGGAATTTTTGTAATAAAATTTTGTAAAGGAAAAGAATTAATATATGAGTTAGGCAAGAATGCTTTAAAAGTGTCAGTATGAATTTAAAATATAAATATAAGTTTTTTTGATTTATTCTAATAACAAAGTTTGAAGATAAATTTTAAAAAGACAGATATCAATCATAATATTCTAAAATATTTTTTAAAAGTTAAAAATCAGTCCTTGAGTGTGGTAACTTTGTTAAATGTTTTGAAATCAGGTAGTTTAAGCCATCCAACTTAAAACTGCCATTGGAATTTTGGTAGGGATTGAATTGAATCTATAGATGGCTTTGTGTAAAATGGACATTTAAACAATATAAATTCTTCCAGTCCATGAGCATGGACTATCTTTCCATTTATTTGTGTCTTCTTCAGTTTTTCTTCAAAAAATTATAGTTTTCAGTGTACAACTCTTTCATAGCCTTGGTTAAATTTATTCCTAGGTATTTTGTTCTTTTTTAATACAGTTGTAAGTGGGAGTGTTTACTTAATTTCTCTTTCTGGTAGTGCATTATTAGTGTATAGAAATAACAGATTTTCTCGTATTGATTGTATGTCCAGAAACTACTGAGTTCATATATTAGTTCTAATGGTTTTTGTGTTTGTGTGTGTGGAGTTTTAGGGTTTTCTATATATAATATCATGTTATCTGACAATAGTGTCAGTTTTATTTCTTTCTTTCCCAATTTGGATGCCTTTTATTTCTTTTTCTTGCCTAATTGCTCTGGCTAGGACTTCCAATAATATATTTTATAAAAGTGATGATAGTGGGTATCCTTGTCTTGTTCCTGATCTTAGAGGAAAAGCTTTCAACTTTTCACCATTGAGTGTGATGTTAGCTGTGAGCTTGTTATATATGGCCTTTATTATGTTGAGTTACGGTCCTTCTATACCCATTTTATTGAGAGGTTTTTTTAAAAACATAAATGGATGGTGAATTTTGTCTATTTTCTATTCATTGTCCTTATTCCTTGTTTCTTGTTTCTTTTAAAAATCTTCCTCTTTTTTTTTTTTGCCTCGTGTGGTTTTAGTTGCACATTTTATATTACTCCATTTTCTCTCTTTTCTAGAATATCAATTATATTAAAAATATTTAAGCAGTTACCCTAGAGTTCACAATATACATTTACAACTAATTTAGTTGTAATATGGTTTGAGTTAATTAGACTAAACTAACTTAACTGAAGCAGAACAAACTAATCTAGTCGGGAAGGTTGTTTGAGTTTACCTGGAATCTGTTTCCATTAGGTGTGGAAAGACATGCAGACATGGAAATGACTGTCATGCAGGAAGAAGTTTATCATACATTTCCCTAGAAACAAGAGATCTGCTGCTCCACGCAGGGGCCACATGAGGAAGCACCATGTTTGGTCAGGAAGCATGGGGGGCGGGGAGGGGAAAATGTGGGCAAGAGCCTCTGTTGTGGTTTCTTTGGGAAGAAATGGTCAAGGCAGGGTAAGCAGGCCTAAGATTGGCTCGTTCAAGTAATTTCAGCAGGCTATGGTGCATAGAAGCTGTCCTTAGTAGTCTGGTCCCTAGCCCTGTGTCATTTTGGCAGGTGGACGGTGGCCTGGAGTATGTGAGTCTGATGAAGCAGGTGGTAGGGTGTGTGGGCTCTGGATGGATTGGTTCACATATGCTGTCTTTGTGCAGGATGCAGAGTCATCTCCAACAGGGAGGTCTTGGGCTGGAGTGATGTCGTTTGAGGTGCTAATATCTCTAGCAGTGAGACCCGGGGCCAGGGCAGTGTGGCTAGAGATGTGGAGCTAGCATATCCTTTTTAAGCTGTTACCTGCTTGAGTTAATGTAGGTGTTATTTTTGTGGCTCTGCAGTATTAAAATGATGAAGTACTTGTGTAATTTGAAGGCAGTGTTGGGCCTGGGACTTTGACTTATAAATATCTCTTAACCGAAGGGGCTGGTGGGTTCACAGCAAACAGAAGTGACATTGGCCTCTGTGCAGAGCCCGACTGGCACAGTTAAAGTCCACATCAGATGCACCTGGACCTAAAAGTGCCCAACAGTCCAACGTTTTACCTTATGAGGTGATGAGAAGAGTTCTGTTGTACATAGATTTTCAGTCATATGACCTGATGTTGGTGTATGTTGTTAATAGGTTGTCAGGTTGTCCTCCATTTAAAATATTTATGCCCTTGTTTGTGGCTCCATAATTCTGCTGTAGGCAGGCAGCCTCATTTGGACTTTTGCCTCAGTTGTTGGTTTGGTTGGCGACAGCCAGACCAGTCTTTGGGTTGTAAAGTCTGTATCAGCCAAACTCAGTGGCTTGTGAGCCTCTGCATTTGCCACGTGTGGGTGGAACAGTGGCTTTCTTGGAGGATTTGGGCCTCCAGATGGCAAACTCCTGAGAGCACTTGGACCAGTAGTAAAGAGATGAATAGTCAATAGAATGTTGTACAGCTGCACTTGTGAGGTTTTTTTTTTTTTTATTTTGTTTTGTTTCTTCATTTGCTTGTTTTTGTGGTAGTGGAAATTTAAGCTCAATTGGGTCTCTTATCAGATTATCGGCCGCCTGGGCAGTAAGGAAGTCTGTGGTTCCCAGATCCCAGAAGTGTATGTACCCTGGATCTGACCTCCAGCTCATATGGGAGGGGGCAAGATAAAAATTTAAAACAATAGGGAAGGCATAACTAAAGGACCTTGTGTATAATGAGTCTTTATATACATGGAATCAAGAAAGAACCCCCTTTAAATATAGGGAAGGAAAATGGAAAAAAAAATTTAAAGTTGGTGGGAGGTATGAGTCAGACAAAGGTCCTTGAATTAAGAGAGATTAAGAGCGTGGGCAATCTAGAGACCCCTGGAGGGGATCCATTTGTTGTATTGGTTGGACTAGAGTTTGAAAAGGAATTGTTTGAGGACGCTGTAATGTGTCTCAGTTCAACCAGCCATCTGGGACCTGTCAGAGACGTGAAAGTTATATTGAATGCCTGCCTTCTCGATGAGGCAGTGTTGTGTCTTCTGAGAAGCAAAACGCATTCCTTGGTTACTATTAATGATGTCTGTAACTAGGAAGGGAATAAAGCGTGTCCTACAAGGCCTTCTGTTTCGTGCTAAGAACTGTTTTTGCTCAAAAACTGGGATGCAGGAAGGAGAGAATGCTTGAGTTCAAGGAGTGTTCCAGTAAACCAAGTTTCTCTCTCTCTCTCTGAAGGTGGACTGCAATGTCTGACGCAGCAGTTCATTGTTGTTTTCTACCTCTTAGTGGCTGTGGTTGAACAACAAGCAGCCCAGGGCAGTGGGGGGAATAGAAACTTTAGGAACGTCTTCACGGGTCATTTGCATCTTTCTCCTCTGAACTGTTCTTTACTTGCCACTTCCTTACAATGCTGTCTTGCTCTTGGTCCATCAAGAACCAACAACTTTCAAAAAGTATTATTTTTAGAGCTGCTTTGGGTTCACAGCAAAACTGAGGGACAGTGCATAGATTATCCATCTATATCCCTTGCCCCTACATGCAGAGCCCCCTCCGTTGTCAACATCACTCACCAGAGTGGCACACTTGTCACAAGCGATAGATGTACATTTACCCATTAAAGTTCAAAGTTTGCCTTGGGTTCCATCTTGATGTTCTACATTCTACGAGTTTGGTCAAATAATGCTATGGATCGATCCATCATTATGGAATCATACATGGTATTTTCATTGCCTTAAAAGTCCTCTGTGCTCTGCCTATTAATTCCTTCCCTCCCCCCTGCAACCATGGATCTTTTTTGCCCTTAATTTTTTTTTTCCGGAATGTCATATAGTGGGAATTATATAAAGTATATTGTCTTTGCAGATTGGCTTCTTTCACTTTGTAATATGCATTTAAGTCTCCTCCATGTCTTCTCATGATCTTATAGCTCGTTTCTTTTTAGTGCTGAATAACATCCCATTGTCTGAAACATGCCACAGTTTACTTGTGTTCATTTACTGAAAGACATGGATGCTTGCAGGTTTCGGCAGTTACGAATAAAGCTGCTGTAAATATCTGTATGCAGATTCTGAAAGTAATCAAAAGGAAAACACCACCTATTGAGGGTGTATTAGATAACTAATAGTATTTTAGATAATATTATTTGAATAGTATTTAGATAATAATAGTTTAGATAATAGCTAATACTAATTAGGTGACTATTGCTATGTAACTGATAATACCAAACCTTAGCACATGGAAACAGCACAGTTCTGTGGGTCAGGAATCTGGGAGCAGCTTGGTGGGTAAAATGAAGATGTCAGCCAGGACTGTAGTTATCTCAAGATTCAACAGAGGGGATGTGCTTCCTGGGCTCAGCCATGCGGCTGTAGGAGGACCAGAAAATGTTTCCAAGCTCACACCTGAGGACCTCTCCACAGGCCTTCTTCACGACAGAGCAGCCACCTTCCCTCAAGGGAGTGAGACATAGAATCTAAGTCAGACTCTTTATAACCTGTCCTGCAAATGAAGACCCAGCACTTCTGCTACATTCAGTTAATTAGAAGCGGGTCAGTAGGTCCAGCCTGTGCTCAGTGGAGTGGAATACACAGGAACATAAATACCAGGAGGCGCGGGGGTCACTGGGACCCGTTGTAGACACTGTCAACTGCAAAGAGAATTTAGAATCGACTATTAAAGGATTAAAAGCATTTTACTTAAAATAGCTCAAAGAAGCGATGCAACATGGTATTTAAACTCTTAGATTTGCTAAGATAGCAGGTATTTGCATCAAGTAATGATACTTGGGAATTACTGTGTTATTCATCCATGTTTAGTAATATTTATGTAACTCTGCTACAGTTGCGTCTCCATAGGTATCTTGGATGCATTAATGAATTTTAAAATTGAGTTTTATATGCTAATTTTTGATTATAATAAATAATTTTTAATAACTGAAGAGGACTCTTAGCTGACTATTTTCCTTTTCTTTTCCTTATATTTAGTATCCAGAGGGTTTATCCTTGGAGTCATATAGCATCAGTGTCGTGCAGTTGCTTGGCCTTAACGTGGGACTGAGTTTTGATAATACTGAGATCTGCCACTGTTCAGGAGATGTTTGCATAATGTCGTCAGAAGCTGTGTAAGATGATTCTGTTGTTGTTAAGTGCACACTATACTCAATTTTTTATTATTATTTTTTGGTTAGGAACTTTACAGTTTTGTTAACCAAACTGAAGTAATTGACACTTACCCAACAACTCTCAGATACACATTCTTTTCAAGTGCAAATGGGACACACACCCCAATAGGCCCAACACTCCTCCAGGCCTCTCCATGCCTGGGGAAATTCTCTTCCTCCTTCCTGCCTCCCAGAGTCCGGCTTGAATTTTTCTCTGCTGGCTAGGTTGAAGGCAACCTCTAGGAACAAGCCATATGAATTGTGTAATTTCAGTGCTTCTGCATAAAGTCAAATGCTTTGATATTTGCATTGTACAATATAAGCATGAATATTGCAATTTATGTTAATAATTTAAAGTAAAAATGTTTATTTAGAAAGACATTAAGTCGCACATAAATAAAACCATGACCCACTGAAAGAGAGGACTGCTGAAGAAAGGATAAAATTTCTTTAATTTTAGTACCATCAATAATACCTTTTCCCTACTTTACAAATAAGAGTTCCTGCATTTCCATTTTGCATTGGTTCCTGCAAATCACGTAGCCAGTCCTGGTTGATCTGCATCACCACCAAGACTGGTATGCTCAGTATGTTTAATTTGAGTCATTTTAGTGCGTATGTACAGTTACCTCATATTGGTTTTAATCTGCATTTCTTAGAAGATAATGATGTTAAGCATATTTTCATGCATTATAGCTTTGAATATCTCAGTTGGTGAAGAGCCTGTTTAACACTTTAGTCCATTTTTTAAAATAACAAATGAGATGTTCATGCTCTTGTTGAGTTGTAAGAATTGTTTATACATTCTAGCAATTAGTCCTTTACCAGATACATGATTTTTTGAATATTTTATCCTTATAGTGTCTTTTTTTAAGAAAATATTTTTAATTTTGATGAAGTACAGTTCATTTTTTCTTCATGCATCATGATTTTATAGCTCTTATATTCAGTTTTATCATACAGTTTGAATTAATCATTATGTACGTGTTTAAGTTCATTTTTATTTTTACCGTACGGATTTCCAGTTATTCCAATTCCACTTGTTGAAAATACCATCATTTCCCCCACTTAATTGCCTTGGTGACTTTGTGAAAAACCAGTTGACCAGAAATGTGTGAATTTTTATTGGACTCTTATTTCATATCGTTAGTCTGTACGTCTGCCCTTATAGAAAAGCAAACTGCTTTTATTACTGCAGCTCTATACTGAATTTTGAAATCATGTAGTACAAGTCCCTAAATTTTTTCTTCTTTTGCAAAATTGTTTTGGCCATTCTGGGTCCTTTGCATTTTCATATGCATTTTATTATCGGATTTCCAATTTTTATGAAACCTCCTGTTGAGATTTTTAAAAATTGAAATATAGCTTATTTATAACATTATCTTGGTTTCAAGTGTGCAGCATAGTGATTCAGTATTTTGACAGATTATATTCCATTAAAAGTTATTACAAGATAATGGCCCTAATTCCCTGTGCTGTACAATATATCCTTGTTGCTTAAAATAAAATATTATACATAGTAGTTTGTATGTCTTAATACCCTACCTGTAACTTGTGCCTCCCCTCTTCTCTCTCCTCTTGGTAACCACTGGTTTGGTTTATATATCTGTGAGTCTGTTTCTGTTTTGCATATACCTTCTTTTGTATTATTTTTTAGATTTCACATATAAGTGATATACATTATTTGCCTTTCTCTAACTTATTTCACTAAGCATAATGTTCTCTAGGTCCATCCACATTGCTACAAATGGCGGAATATATAGGTATATAAATTCCTGAACCACAGTGTCAATCAGGCTATGCAACATTTATATCTCCACAGAAAAGTTCTTTTGTGATACTCAACTGTCACAAAGGGCCAGGTCCTGGGTTTCTCATCTCAAAAGCCCCACAGGTGCTATTTGTTGTGCTGGCCCAGTGTGGGGCTGCCAAACTAAGACCTGGCGGATCGAAGGTCAGCTGCCTGTCCGTCAGTCAGTCTCCTCCCTGTCTCTGCAGTGATCTGTTGGTTTTAATGCTGGATCAAACAGTATGTTTTACTTTCCAGACTGGTGGCTGGGGACCTGAGCCACAGCTCCCCATCCCGCCACCCTCCCCCCGCCTTCCTGCCTCCATGTAAGTCCTCTCTTGTTTTAGTGATTTGCGGTGAGCATCCCTTTCCCTCTGTTGCAGGGGACCTGGTGGAAAAGGAAAGGTGTGTTGCCATATTTCCTACTCTTTGGGCATGGATTCCCTCCTTTCCCTTTGTTAGTGTCCTGGGTTCCCACGGACTCAGGGATTTGTCAGTTGAGGTTTCTCTGCGCGCGCGCGAGTGTGTGTGTGTGTGTGTGTGTGTGTGTGTGTATATACTTATATATATTTAAATACACATTATATATAGTACAGAGTAAAAATGTTTTATTGAAAAAAAAGGGCCCTTTTACCTTCCACCCTGCCTCAGGCAACAACTGATCTAATTTCTGTCACTGCAGTTAGATTTATTGGCTCTAAAATATTATGTAGACTGAATGAAATGTACTCTCTTTTGAATGTTCAGTCTATAAGACTGTAATTGCTCTGAATTAAGCATTTTTCTTTAATTATTTGAATTTATTTATAATGTCTCCTTTTAAGTATTTTTATGCTAAATCTGACACCCGAGCTACCTCAGTGTTACTTTCTACTGACTGCTTTTTTTTAATTGGCTATGGATTACATTTTCTTATTTCTTTGTACATCTGTTATTATCAGCATATTGGATATTGTTGATAGTACACTAGAAAGCCTAGATTCTCCCACCTTCCTGTGAATAGCGTTGACTCTCTTTCTGCCAGGCAATTCAATTGTTGGGTAATCATTTTTAACTTTACATGCTTGGTTTTACGCCTTGTTAGTATGGATCTATGAAAAACTCAAGATATTTCCAAACCTCTTTAAAATGGCAGGATTGAACCTCCAAATTTGGTTTTCCCCCGGGGAACTTGTCAGGGCTTGATACAGAGTAGGTTTTAGTGTAGGGCAGAGGTCAGCCAACAACAATCCATAGGCAAACTCTGGCTGCCTGCCTGTTCTGTAAATAAAACTGTCTACGCTTATTGGCTTACATATTGTTTACAGCTGCTTCTGTACCACAGTGGCAGAGCTGAATAGTTGCAACAGAGCATATGGCATATAAGCCTATCATATTTAGTCTGTGGCCACTTACAAAAAAGTGCATCAACTACTCGTAAATCGTGTTCTTCCTTGTGTTTAGTTGGATGCTGAGGTGTTAGTGAAGTACTAACGGCTCTCCACTCTGTCAGGACAGGTATTTCTACTGCCCTTCCCGTGGTATAAACCAACAGATATTTATCTGAAAAATGCTTAATTATGGAGAGCAAAAGCTCTAAAACACGCTTTTAAGGTTAATACAAACATACTCATATTGTCACTTAAAGAAAAATATACAAAGATGATATTAAATAGATAAAAAGTATATTAAATACTGAGGTCAAAAATTTTAAATTCAATTTTTTTGGCCCTGGGAATGTAAGTAAGGAACACCAGAATTTCTATGTCTAAAGACTTAATAAAGATCATAGGGTAGGTAGATAACAGGTATTACTTAAAACAAGATGAACGGCAAACGATTTTGGAACTTTTTTTTTTTTTACTTCATTATTTATTTATTTATTTTACTTTTTTTTTTATTGAGTTAGAGTCGGTTTACAATGTTGTGTCAGTTTCCAGTGTAGAGCACAATTTTTCAGTCATACATGAACATACATACATTCATTGTCACATTTTTTTTTTGCTGTGAGCTACCACACGATCTTGTATCTATTTCCCTGTGCTGTACAGTATAATCTTGTTTATCTATTCTGTGTATGTCTCTCAGTATCTACAAATTTTGAACTCCCAGTCTGTCCCTTTGAAACTTCTTTTTTTAATTACAAGATTTTTCATGATGAAACTTAAAAAGTGTGTTAAAACATATTAGTATTTTAAAAATACTTTTTATTTTTAAAAAGTGTTCTTATTGTTTTCCATGAGAATAATGCTCTTTAAATTTCTCTTCAAAATATCATACAGTAGGAGAAATGGAGAGATATACAGTAATAATTTTTGTCATACTCATGTTTTGTATATGTCAGGCACTCTGCGGGCGTAAAGGATTTTAGCACCTGTAGCTTGGATGACTTTAAATATTTTGCTTCACATTCTGGCCTTGAATGTCTTCATAACATCTTTCCTGAGAAGCCAGCTTACAAGCAGGGCACAGTATGTGGCAATGGAATTTTGGAAGCAGGTGAAGAATGTGATTGTGGTTCTTTACAGGTTAGTAGGAAGTTTCTTCAAAAGCTTTTTATTTCCCATATATATGTATAATAGGTGGAAAAAAAGATAAAGAAGACCTTGTCTTCTAGAAAAATAAATTTGAGAAAGACCTTTTGGGGGGAAAGACGGAAGCCTTTAAGTTTCCTACTTTTGCTATTTTTTGAAGTGGACAGCAAAGGTCCTTCAGATAATGTTTGTCTTCAAATATTGCCCTCTGACCTTCTTTAGAGACATCAGCTCTAACCTTATAATTAGTGACCACAAAGAGTGCATAAGGAGTTGGAGAAATACTCCCTTAACAACAAGCAGTAAATGAAAACCGACAAGAGCATCTAAAGACTATAGACTGTTACCAGTGGGAGAGCAAAATGCATTGTTTGTTATTATACGGAGAAGAATTTTTGTTGACAGATTATGCCAATTAAAAATAGTTTAAAATGGAATCTGTTGCTTGTAGGAAACATAAAAATATAGAACTAGGATAAAACTGAAACAAAGATGAAAGATGATAGAAGAGGAATTGACAACGAATTGAAGAGTCATATGAAAACTCTCAGGAACAACAGTGATAAAATAGGGAATCTATTATACACAAATTGTATATACGTAATTTTATGTAGTAAAATATATAGTAGATACACACACACATGCATGCACATACACACACACTCACACACAATGTATATTATTTAATGGTACTGGAAAACATCTAAAAGAAGGAAGAAGCCAGAGGAGAGTTTAATCTCCCCATAAAAACTGCTAAAACCAATTAGTGAATGAAAGTGAATCCAAATTCCATGGATGATTTCTATGTGTAAATAATAAATAAATGGAAAAGGAAATAAACTGTACAATTCCATATACATTGTTTCAAAAACACGAAATATATAGAGATAAATTTAACAGAATATGTGTAAGACCTGTACAATAAAATCTTAGGTTACTCAAATAAATGAAAGAAGATTGAAATGGAGACACATCCCACTGCATGGATTGGAAGACACAATATTGTTAAGATGTCAGCTCTGCATAGATTGATCTGTACCCTCAATGTAATCTCCATCCAAACCCCACCCATCTTTCTGTAGAAACTGGCAAGCTGATACTATATATGGAAATGCAAAGGACCTAGGGTAGACAGAGCAATTAGAAGAAAAAGAGCAAGAGTGGAGCACAAACACTAGTTTTCTGTAAATTTCAACATTTTCTGTAAAGTGGTAATAATCAAAGCAATGTGGTATTGGCCAAAGCATGAATATTTACCTTAATGAAATAGTATAGAAAATCCAGATATAAAATATTTATATAATCAGTTGACTTTCTGCCCTTATGTTAAGACAATTTAATGGGTGAAGAAAATCTTTTCAACAAAGATATTATATGAACTAGACTTTCATGTACATAAAATAAACCATGACATCCCACCATACACAAAAATTAACTTGAAATGGATCAAAGACCTAAATATGAAAGCAAAAATTCTAAAACTTAGAATAAAACATAGGAGGCAGTCTTTTTGATTCTGTGATAGGCAACAGTTTCTTAGATAAGGCAAATAAAAAAGAGATTTTCAGGAAAAAAACGTAACTTGTACTTCATCAAATTTAGAAACTTTTTCTTTTAGGCTTTGTTGAGAAAAATAAAATAGCAAACTCTGAAATGGGAGAAAATATTTACATATCATATATGTTCCAACATATATGTATAATATATTCAAAAGCCAATTCAAAGGACTTTATTCAAATACATAAAAAGGACAATTAAGAATTCTGATTTCTGGGGGGGAAGGTATAGCTCAGTGGTAGAGGGCATGCTTAGCATATGTGAGGTCCTGGGTTCAATCCGAGTACCTCCATTAAAAATAAACAAGCAAACAAACCTAATTACCTGCCCCTCCCCCAAATATGTGAGAAGTTTAGGAATCAGCACTCAGTCCTTACAACAAGTAAAAAGCTAAACAAATTAAGAAAGCAACAGCTCTTCTTACATCCATCAGAGAAGTGAAGTCACAGGGCAAACCACTGCCTGCTCCAAACTGGAAAAACACTCAGGTGAATGCAAAGAATCACAACTGACTGGAGTAGCAACCCAAAGCTAAAACCTTTTGGGAACCATCACCTGGGCAGGCAAACCTGAACTATAATTTTCAAATTTCTGGAGGCTCAACATGTAGAACTTGAATAGTTTAAAACTCCAGGGGGACCCAGTCATAGATGGGAACCACACACCATTTCATGAGTTTTACCTCCAGGAGTTTGAACTGTTCATCACAGTGAATACTGGACACAAGTTTTATGCTTCCGGCGAGGGGAGGAAAAGGAACCATCCTGAAATAGCCAGAGCATTCTATTCTTAAGAAAGTCTGCCCTTAATAATTACAAAGTTGTATGGAAAAAACAACTCCCCCAAACTAAGAGTAACCAAACATTTGATTAAAAGAAATGGTGAAGGAATAATTAAAACTTTGAGTGCATCAGCACATAAGTCAGTATATGAAATAAATAACTTTTTAAAAGTATAATATTGCTGTCTGTGGTGAAGCTGTTTATTAAAATACCAATTAAAAATAACAGTAACCAAAAAGACAAGACCAGGAAACCCAAATTTCTGATGTTGGTTAACTCCATAGTTTAGAACAAACTTGCTACTGACGACTGGAAAGTTGGTTGAAGGCACTGAATCTTGTACAATATAAGTAATCATGGGGCCAACATCCCAGTGAAAGCAGAGGTCTGGACAGACCAGCATGGTTTCTGGGACCATTTTGTTGAGGGGCAGGGGTTTGGGGTTTTGCCATTTCAGAGAGAGATGCTGAGAGTCTGAATATTGCTCTTGACAGCTTCACATCAGAGAAGTTCTGTATGTAAATAGATCTATTAAGGAAACAAGAACATAAGAAAAATTTTGAAGACAATGTTAGTTAACAAGGCATCTTAATAAGTATTTCCTCTAAGATTTTGGCTCCACAGCAGTATGTTAATATTGTTCAAATTACATGGAATGTCGTGAAATGACACATTTCTTTTACAAACTAGTGAATGAGATGTTGATTTCAGTAAGTCTCATGTAAAGAATGAGATTACTGAAACTGTGCATTTTAAGAAATGTGTATACTTTGTAAAGAAGGTCTGTGTTGCAGGTTTATGTGACAACACCTAATCATACATGATTGAGTAACAAAGCATTTGTTCACAGAATTGTACACATACGAAATGCTGCGATCCTAGAACATGTAGAAAAAAGAAGAGAGAGTTAGGATGTGGCTCTGGGGAATGCTGTACCACGAGTTGTGTGGTAGGAGGCAATCTGTATTTTATTATATCTTAACATTAGAATTTCTTTTATTTATTTATTTATCTATTTTAACATTTTTTGAGTAATAGTCATTTTACAATATTGTGTCAAATTGCAGTGTAGAGCACAATTTTTCAGTTATAAATGAACATACATATATTCATTGTCACATTTTTTTTTGCTGTGAGCTACCACGGGATCTTGTATATATTTCCCTGTGCTGTACAGTATAATGTTGTTTATCTATTCTACATTTTAAAACCCCAGTCTGTCCCTTCCCATCCCCCACCCCCTTGGCAACCGCAAGTTTGTATTCTATGTCTATGAGTCTGTTTCTGTTTTGTATATA